TATTGTAATACTTTATTTGTACAAACACTTCTTATATATAGTCCCAAAGAAACTTTGTTTTCTCTACCTTATATAAGGATCTCTCAATAAAGTTTTGGCTTAGCCAGTGTTAAAAAAAAAAAAAAAAAAAAAAAAAGTATTAATTTATTAAAGAGTTGAAATATTGCTTTTTAAATTAAAGTACGCTAAATCAGACTTTGTTTTGTTTAATCCAAATTAGCATAATGAATTCTTCAAAAAAATTTTTAAGTAGTATAATAACAAGTTAATCATTATATGAAAGTCAATGTAATATTGTAGATATTTGTTTAATGTTTTGATAAAGACAGAATTTTAAACAAAAAAAAAAAATCTTAGGCATTGTACATACTGCTAAGATTTAATATACTCAAATAGAAAACCAGTTACCTTTCTTTTTTTCACTTTTTTTTTTTTTTTATAAATCGTTGCGTGTTATAAGATGCATTAAACTATGCCAGAATAATTGTCACTTAAATAGAATACTTGAATTTTCTTGATTTAGAAAAAAATTTTTTTAATATATACGAAATCATTTAACCACGGTTTACATACAGTATAGGAAAATTATCACTAGAGAAACTAATTTGGTTCGGCATTTCTTGCTAGATCGAATAAACAATAAAAACACGAATTGAATGAACAAAGTTACATATATTGATTTTCGATTATGGAAAGTAAGACTAGAGAAAGATTTCAAAAGATTTGGAAAGGTTAAATTCAAAAGTGAAAAATGAGTCACATATTCGATGCCTAAATGATGTCAAGTGTTTACCTCTATTCATTTCCTCACAAGTCGGTCTTTGTTCATTGTTTTGCGCCCTTTGCATCCATTCCGTGGCCTTTCTCTGATCTGGAAGTACACCAATGCCGTCTTGATAACATAAACTTACCCTAAATTGTCCAGCGCTACATCCACCCTCAGCCGATCTCATGTACCATACAAACGCCTTTTTTTCATCTTTACTAACGCTTATTCCGCATTCATAAAAAGTCCCCAGATTACCTTGTCCAGCGGGGTCGCCACCTTCAGCCGATTTCAAATACCATTCAAACGCTTTCCCTTCATCTCTACTGACGCCAACTCCATCTTCATAGCATGATCCAACGCAACATTGTCCACCTGGATTACCACTTTCAGCAGATTTCAGGTACCACTCGAATGCCAGCCTTCCATTTCGGGTAGTGCCAATACCAAATAGGTAACACGAACCAAGATTCCTTTGCCCAAACGAATCGCCACCTTTCGCGGATTTTAAGAACCACTCGAATGCCCTCTTTTCATCTCGAGGTACGGTTGTGCCTTTTCGATAATAAGTTCCGAGGGCATTCTGCCCAGCGGGGCTACCGTTTTCGGCCGATTTCGAGTTCCATTCGAATGCTTTCCTCTCATCTTTGGCGGTGCCTATTGCATTCTGATAACATCGACCGACCTGATATTGCCCGTCAGGGTTACCGGCTTCAGCGGATTTCAAGTACCACTTGAACGCCATTTCTTCATTCTTTTCAATGCCCACTCCATTCTCATAGCAAAATCCAACCATAAATTTTCCTTCACGATTGCCAACTCTGGAGGACTCAAAGAAAATCGAGTTTGCATTTAAATTCAAGTAAGAGACCACGAACTTGTTTTTCCCAACGGAACTGTGACCTTCGGCCGATCTTAAATACCATTCGAACGCCTTTTTATCGTTTTTGGGAACACCGATCCCATTTTGGTAGCACCTTCCAACTTCGTATTGTCCTCTAAAATTTTCGTCCTCGGCGGATCTCAAAAGCCATTCGAATGCCATTACTTCGTCTTTGGCTACCCCCTTTCCATCTTGATAACATTTACCAGCAAGGAGTTGAGCTTCAGAGGATCCGCTCTCGGCCCTTTCGAAAACCATTTGAAAGCCTCTTTTTCGTCTTTACCAATTCCAAAACCATTCATGTATTTGTGACCAACATTGATTTGTCCAAGGGGTTCTCCTCCCTCCGCCGACTTCAAGAACCATTTGAATGCCTTTTTTTCGTCTCTCTCGACAAAGGTGCCAAATTGGTAAAACAAGCCAAGATAGGCTTGTCTATTAGGATTTCCTTCCATGGCTGATTTCCGACAGTTCAGAAATTCCATATATCGATGATCATAGATGAATGGTCTGTTGGGAACAGTGGCACCACTAGATTTATGGAATTGGGCAAACACATTATCAACTTTGAAAACGTTCATCCCTATTCGCGCTTGTTCATTACTTAAGGTGAATTGAGATAAAATGAGTGAAATTTGGATTTAACGCACTGCATATAAAAATTTTCACACTCACACCCTGTCGCCTTTATTCGTTGACCCTCCACACAACTTTTTATGCTCTTTCCAGTCCTCTCGCTGACATTCCTTGGAGCAATAAAAAACTTGGAGGCATTTCGCGCATCGACTTCCCGAGGGTTTCCAACAGACGTTGCATCCGTTCATGGTCGTGAGAAATAAGAAAAGAAAGTACGAAGGTCGAATAATGTATACATACTTTTCTGCAATGTGCGTGGAATGACATCAGATTACGTGATTATGTAAAATTCAATCGTTTCAGGGTTTTATCACATGTAAGAGACACATCGTTATTCCCGAAGATCTGGGAATTTTTTCTAGAGAACAAATAGGTGTGTACTTATTATATAAGGATGTAATACTATATACTGTTACTGTATAATAAGGATTCGATGGATTTAAATATAATGATTTATTAATGGCAAAAAAAAAAAAAAAAAAAAAAAAAAAAAAATCTAGATACAATTGAGTATGCAATTTGATGAATCAATGAGTGCCTACCATTAAATTCTATATGGAGGGGGGTGATGGATGGATGGATTCGTGCGTTTTCAAAAAAAAAAAAAACAGCACAAATATAAAATGAGTACGTTAAGTTTATCGAAACAACAGTTTCGTTGGAAGCAGTCAGTCTATGAGAAAAGGTGCACATGTGATCTATCAACGCAGAAATGATCATGCCGGATTCTCCCTAGCTTGCTGTCGAACTCTCTTTTCATATTCCGCACGATTTTTTCTAAGGAAAAAAAAAATTTTTTTTTTTTTCAGATCAAAGTCCGAGGAGGGGGAGGAAAACCTCAATGGACATAAATCGGAAACATACTTGAAGAGCGTATACGCTTCTGATTGTGCTGGACTCTCAGGGTTAGGTTCGTCAAGAAGATTTTGAATGCCGAGCAAAATCTAAAAATTTGAAACGTTAACATCGGGAAAGCCTAAGAAACTAATGATTTCACACACTTGTTTGATAGTGATTGACGGTTTCCACCCTTCTTCCTCGTTTAAAATTGAAAGACAAACAGTTCCTGAAGGATAGACGTTCGGGTGAAAAAGAGGAGGATAAAATTTACCTACGAAAAAAAAAAAAAAAGGAAAGGAAAGAGTAATTGGAAATTGTAGGCACCGGACGTTAATTGAACGCTCAAATAAAAAATCATTCGGTGCTCTTTCATCAATCCTTACATTTCGGTGGTTTCGAGGGATAATCTGAATTAGAGGGGGGATGTGTGTTATCAACAGAAAATGATATTAACATATGAAAATGATATTTAACATATCAATTAACGCAAAAAACTCCTACCTTCAGGAAAGATCATCATCAACTTGTATACACCGTTTTCCCATGGGGTCTAAATTGAAACACGCAAAAGTTCAACGCCATTGATTTCACCGGTGCGAAGGGCATGACTGAACATCTTGGTTTGTTGAAAATACTTTGACACAGCGCTTACCCCTTTTTTACCTGGAATTCCTACTTGCCAATTTAATAAGTCTAACCCGTTTTCGGTCTTTGTTGGACGCGCAAAAAAGCCCTACAAATTGTCCGAGAAATGGCAAACACTTGAGACACGTAAACAAATGTTATGCCATACTAAGTTAAGGTTCGTAAGGCATTCCGAAAAAGCTTACGTATGGGTGGTCCTTTCGCCATTGTCGTCGTTCTTCGGTGAGGCGAGCTTTACAGATACCTGACATTATGACTAAACAAAGTTCTATGCGCTCACGGATAACGGAGTTACGTGTTTTCAAAATAGAATCAAGAAAGTCGATTTTTTATTCGTTTTTTACACCATGCTATTTCATTGGTTGACGACAATTACATTGAATCACGTGAATGTATTACGAAATCATTGTGTATTTATTAAATTAGTTATGAATTAGTCGATTGAGGGTATTGTTCTTGTGCGCTTTGATATGGTATTTGAGGTGGCCCCTGGAAAATGATCAGGTACCAAGTCAATGAAAAAAAAATCAGAGTGCCGCCCAACGAAACATCAATTTCGCATTACCTGCGTCGCGAGCTGCCAAAGTGTCATCTTCTGTTCTTTCATCCTTTCCGCAATCTGCTTCTCATAATTATCCATGTCTTGTTTCATTGCCCGTTGTAGTTCTGGACTCTGTTCCTTCACGGATTTGTAATGCTGCACCAACTCTTCGTGTACCATCTGTCGGTGCAACAATGCCTGCTGATACGGGGGGATTTGATCGTGCTGTTAAAGGAATCGATTGATAAATTGTTAACATACGTAGAGTTCGTTTGCGCGCATCTGACAATACACTCGTATCATTTGTCATCAGGTACATACAGCGTGACCGACACCAAGGAGGGATGCCCAACTTGCCAATCCTTTCTTCTCACTCTTAGCCTTTTCCAATTCTTGTCGCTTTTTCTCCTTCCATCGTTCCTCCCATACGGCATATGCCTTAGGGACGTCAGTTCCCTGAAATTGTTTTAATATTGGACGGACATCTTTGATTTCATAGGGTGCCAATAGAGTGAAATCTAATGATAAACAAAGATATGGTCATTTTCTCCGCAACAAACAAGCATCACGGAAATCAATAACATCAAGCACTCACGCTCAAGAAATGGAATAATATCGATCAGGAAGGTGTCGTTGGGATCCCCCTTCCACGGGGGAATGGCGATAGCGTTTTCAGGTTGTAACGAATAGGCATCAGGATTTGAATCCATTATTATCACTTTGGAAAGATCGCGATTCAACTTGGAAATATCCTAACAAGAAGAAAAAAAAAAAACATCGAAAGTTTAATCACGGCAAGGCATCGAGTTCGACGCGTATCGACAAAAAAAAAAGCATTTTTACCTTGACGATCTTTCCGTCCACATATCTCGTTGACTCTCTATAAAGCCTCAAAGGGACCATTGCAAGTGGATCAAGCTTTGCGAGGATCTGATCGGCAACCTATTATCAGGAGCAATGAGCTTTCCTGTGAAATGCTGAATTCCATGAGAATGACGTGATAAACTTAATTTACATACGTAAGAAGGCTGTGAGGTGAAAATAACCACCTCGAATAGATTCGACAAGACAAACAGGAAGAAGTCAACGCCTGGCCGTTTTGCAGTTCGCCAGCCGTGCTCCCTCTAACCTCAACAATTTAGAACCATTAATATTTAAGGTATAATAGATGCGATTAGTAGCAAGGTATAAAATGATACTCACATCCCAGGTTGAATAAATAAGCGTTTGATCCAAATTGATCACCAATGTGTATGGAGAATAATTTGGTAGAGAGTCTTTGTCCGGCAGTAATTTGTCCGATGAAGGTTCTGTGAAGAACTAGCAATTCGAAATATTAAAAGTCGGCATTCCGCAATAAAATTCAAGATCCTTAACGTCAATGACTTACATGAAGAAGATCATTCCCGCGTGCCTCCAATCGCTTATACCATGCAGCGAAATTGTCTAAATCCTTGTACTATTACAAAGACAAAGAATTCTCATTAAAAATTTAAGATCCCTAGAAACTCCTTTTACTCTTCCTGCGGTCCATTTACCTGATTTTCACGATCACCTTCGAATGGTCTACCTGTACAATGTCTGATGCGTCACTTTCATAACGATAACGACTGATCGATTTGAATATTCTCTCGAGTTCAAATGCACCCACCTGAATACATGATCAGTATTATTCCCGCACAGGCACTCACGAAAGACAATCCCTTCAATGCTCTTTTTGTTTCTGGACTCAAGGTATCAGTACTAGAAGTTTTCGGTCTTGACCCTTTTAGTTTTTTTGGTGCCTCCACTTTCGATGGTGTTGATGTCTTATCGGGTGTCAGTGTCGACTGCCTCCTCACGCGCATTAAAAAATTCGAGCATGTGTCAATTATGCTATAACTAGATCTTCGTATTCCGGATAGCTGAGCATACGGAATTAGTATGCTCTTTTTATCCGTTATCAGATGAGAATAAAATGTTCTTGAAAGTGGACTTGTCTGAAGAAAACGCTGGGAAGCATTTTGCGTCGAAAAAGTGTTACGTTTTCCAGAGGAGAGTCGTGATTTTTGAATCATGTAAGGGAAGCAATGCCTGCAACGAATCAAAGGTGAAAAAAGTTGAGTCGAAGGCTTTTGCATTACTGAGGAAATCCCGAGTATCATTTTCTGAAAAACGTGTCCTCCTATGAACGATAATCAGAAAAAAAAAGCAGACTGCGTGTCGTAACATCAGTAACGTGATTACGTAAGATTTTTTTGCTTACAAAGTAGCACAAAATTAAACCAACTGATTTACTACGTATCTGTTAGAAGTGAGCACGTTAATTGTAGTTGGATTATGCGTAAACTGACTAATTCGAACAGTACGCGCCAATTCACAAGTGCAAACTCATGAGAAAGTTCAAATATGAGCTTGATAACTGTGGTCGTGAAGGCGCATCATAGTATCGCATTCACGACCTTAGTGCAAAAGGAGAAAGGTGCGTGTAACCTGTTGATAATAATTGAAATAAGATTCTAAATATAGAATCGCTAATGCCGAACATTATTTATGACAGGGTTCGAGGCGCGAAACGATTTGTCAGATTTTTTTTTTTCTTTTTTGTAATATTGGAAATAAGAAAAACTATTAAAGAGGTCTTTTATTTTTCACAAGTTTTCTTTCCTCACGTTTGTCGCACGCTTTTTCTAACCTCACGAATTTTCTATCCAAACTTTAATTATTTTATTTAATTTTAAAAAAAGAATTTTTATAATACTGTAATTTGTTACTAGAGTTTAATTAATGTAGACCTAGATGAAATTTGAAAGTTATCACTGAACCTTAAAGGCACATGCTCAAATAATTTATATATTTATATTAGAAAAAAATAAATTCAACGCCTGTGTCACAGAAAGTCTCCGACAATGTGCTCACTTGTTAACGGACGACATAATTATTAAGCTCACTATGGTCACGGTATGTTATTAATAAAAGAAGAGACAAAACAACATTTATTCGACGAGCCGTTAGGATTTTATTCCTAGAGCCGATGTTCATTCAAGACGAATAGCGTATACCCGAAAAAGTTGATAATCAGTAAGGACATAATATAGCACATTATCAGTAAGAGGCATATATACATAATATAGCACACTATCAGTAAGAGGCAATATATGATCTACATCGTGATTTAATTTTCAGGTAGAGTTGCTTTATTGGCATAAGAAAATAAAATACAAATAACGAAATCTAGTTATCATGTTGTAGAGGGAAAACTGTGGTACTCTTTTTCTATTTACATTTGCGATTTGGAGAAACAGATGCTTTTTAGCCGATTGTGTATAATAATATTTATTAGATAAGTAAAAATTTCTTTACAGCACGAAATTCATTCAATGTTCCATCGTGGGTTAACTTTTATCGTAATAATTATAGCCGGAAGTATTTGTTACAAATTCTTTACACATGACTATTACCCTCGGCATAAGTATAGGTTTCGTCTACCGGGAGCTGGTTTCTATCCAAATCGTTAAAATGAATAAAATATATAGTCTTTAGTCATTAATGATTACATACCATAAATGCTTTGTTAGATGGCTAGCCAATTTTTGTACGAAGTTTAACGTGTCGCTGATAACTTGACTGGCTAAAGGATTCTTTCAACTTAAATCGCAAATCGTGTGGTGAAGTGTCTTTTCCGAGTTTATTCTTAAAGTTAATCAATCACATTATCTTTGATCTGAACTAAGCGGTTTCTCTAAATCCGTCTTGACTGCTCCCAATCATAAAAGCACTATCGGACTAATGCAAAATATGCGTTAGTTTTCAAAATATAGAGAAATTCGTCATTAAAATAACATATAATATCAGAGCATATGCAAAGTAAACATCGTGTGGCCATCACGCTGACAAAACTTTGTGTAATACTTATGTTCTAACTTACCCCGACCGTGCAATAACTTTTTCACATAATAGATTAATAAAGTGAACTACAGCACTGCATAACAGCCTGTAGTTAATACACCCCTCCATTATGTGCAAGTTTTATTGGGGGTCGACTACATGGGCGCGAGTGACGAACTATCACACAATATCATCATATAATATAATATGAAACGCCCGTATAAGACTTTTAGCTAACCTGCGGAGAAATTCATAAATTTCTTAATTGGCGTGACGAACCCTCCGCATATATAATTGATAATTCGTTTCAGAATCCAGCGATCCACACAGTAAGTAACCGACGTAATAGTTCTTCGGTAGTTGTAAATATTATTTGCAACTTGGTAGACATATTGAAATTAAATTTGTTTCGTTGTACAGTAAGTAAAAAAAGTGACGAACAGCACTTTTAAACCGTTTTCGACAGCCCGTTTCGGGTATGGGAATTATAAATGTAGAGAACGTGAAAGCGAAGTAAAAATATTTTCACATAAACCACGAGTTAGTTACAATGACGTATTTTGCCAACTTGATTGGAAATGCAACGCTAATTATATATTATTCACAAAGAAAACGCGAAATTATGCCATCATGATAAAGTGACATAATCATAGATCGTCACGAATTTTTTTTTTTTTTTGCCTCGTAAATTATTAAATCTCTTAAATTAGTATAAAGATGTATTTGAAGCATATTTACAAATAAATTAAATAGACAATAATGAATATATTTATCAAACTATCACTTTGCAACTTATATATAGTAAGAGAAAATAGTTCCATTGATGATCTATAAAAAATCAATTTAGTTTAATTATTATTAAATATATTGATCTTAAAAAAAAAATTTTTTTTAATGGATGGCTTACACCTTGTTTATTAGATATTATTTGTGAGGATGTACAAATTTATTTTATACAAATTTAACTCTCTAGCTATCTAATTAAACTCACTAAGGATAGTCCTACTGTACAACTTATTGTCAAGTACTAATATATGCTTAACTAATCTGTCAAGGCTTTATTTGTTTCATAAAAATTTGTTTTGAAGAAATATATTTTGTTCCAGTTAATCCAGTGTTGACTGAAATATTTCATGATTTTGTTGATTTTGGAATATATAATTTGTATATGATAATTTTTCTATCTAGTATTTTCTATTTCTTTTTATTTTTTTTTATTATATTTTGGTTTGTTTCCCACTATAAAAAGAATTGACATCTCAGTTGTCATTTGTCCTAAAGAATAGTTAGAAATCTGTTAATAATATTTTTGATAATTTCTTTTTAATTTTCTATTATTATATATTTCTTTATTATTTTGAGAAGATCTTTTGTTAGTATTCATTGTGATATAATTTTTTTTCAAGAGTCCATTCACTCTCAATTTTTTTAAGTTTATTATTTAGTGTTTTTTTTTAAAATTTGTTGTTTTCTACTACTAATCTTCTTATTAACAATCTAGAGAAGTGTTTTAAAATATTTATACCATTATTTTTACATATTATGGCATAAGTATTGATTTTAATGTGTTTATAGTTGATACAAAAGTTATCTTTGTATATTGTTGCTACTTTTTTGTAAAACTTATTTTTAGTTGACAATTCTAGGTTCTATAGTTTTAATCAGAAAAATCTAGTATTGTGATCAAGTCTATTAGTTGTACTGGTTATTATTTAAGATGAAAATTTGTGGATTATAGATTTATTTATTTATTTTTTTTTTTTAATCCACAATCATGCCACAATGGCATATCTTTATTGAAAAATTGAAATGAATTTACAATATTTTACAGACTTTCGCAAAGTGACTAACTCATTTTTATACAAAGATACTTTAAGTCAGATTTTGGAAACAATATTTTACTCCCCTAATAGATTGGTAATAACCTCTATCTACCAGGATCATTGTCAATAGTTTGTCATTGTAGATTGCTCGAAAACTAATGAATTGCTAAGTTAAAAAGGTGAAGGGGAAAAAAGAATTGGGGAAAGGAGACAATTCAAGATCCATCAAAAAAATCCAAAAATAAAAACAATCTCTTCTCAAAAGGAATCTGACTGATTAGGATAGTCTTCTTGTTTCACTTGAATTTCAGAAGAAATCTTCTTTTTCACCACCTATAACATCAGACGAGTCAATCCAACTGGTCTTTTATTTAAGTGAATACCGGATTGGGATATTTCAAGAAAAGCATTTAGATCTCAACATTTTTTCATTAAAGCTTTGTTACTACTTGAGGAACTTAGGTAAGAGATAGGAGTTTGCAATCCACATTACCCATCACTTGGTCTTTTGGTACCATGGAAGTTTTCATTGAGGGACTTGAGCTTTTTAGAAGGCAAATGTTTCCAGAACCTTCTTTCCAATCACCAATAATGTCATTGGAACATGTGGATATAACCAATAGAAGCTTGTTTACATTCCAAAAACTAATGTGTTTCGTGTCAGCCAATCACCTTTTATGAGAATTTGTGCTATCAAAAATTCAGGGTCAAACTGAGATAAACAAAATTTCTCAGAAAACCATGAAAGTGATAGCTCTAAGAGGTCCAACAGTGACTGGAAGAATAAAAATAAGTCCTTTTGTTATCAAAAACCTCTATATATCTCTCGCTTTAAAGGTTAAATAGGCCTTCAGGTACTTTACAATTAGTTCTTCTTTCTTTGGGAACTTTTTTGCCATTGGTATCAAAGGTGTTACTTGACTTTTCTTGATTACTTGAAGTCAAGTTTTTGAGTGAAGAGGTTTGTAAACAAGAAGAAAAGGATAAAAGTGACTCTTGAAGTCATACTTTAAGTTGTTTTAATGAAAGTATTAAGACTTTATTAGCAAAGAAGTATAAAAACTTCTTGCAAACATCTTTTTTGTGTGTAGTCAGAGGATCAGCGGAAAGAGTTGCTTGTGAATCATAGATTTAACCTATACTATATTTTGTAGTAT